GGTTTAGTCCTGGTTTAGTCCTGTTTAGTTTTGGTTTGTCTAGTTTAGTCCTGGTTTAGTCCTGATTTAGTCCTGGTTCAGTCCTGGTTTAGTTTAGTCCTGGTTCAGTCCTGGTTTAGTCCTGGTCCTTAGGTTTAGTCCTGGTTAGTCCTGGTTTAGTCCTGGTTCAGTCCTGGTTTAGTCCTGGTTAGTTCCTGGTTTAGTCCTGTCCTGGTTAGTCCTGGTTTAGTCCTTGATTTAGTTTTTGGTTTAGACAGTCCTGGATTTAGTCCTGGTTTCCAGTCCTGTTTCAGTCCTGGTTTAGTCCTGGTTCAGTCCTGGTTTAGTCCTGGTTTAGTCTTGATTTAGTTTTGGTTTAGACCCGATTTAGTCCTGGTTTAGTCCTGATTTAGTCCTGGTTCAGTCCTGGTTTAGTCCTGGTTCAGTCCTGGTTTAGTCTTGATTTAGTTGGTTTAGACCCGATTTAGTCCTGGTTTAGACCTGGTTTAGACCTGGTTTAGTCCTGGTTTAGTCCTGATTTAGTCCTGGTTCAGTCCTGATTTTGTCCTGGTTCAGTCCTGGTTTAGTCTTGATTTAGTTTTGGTTTAGACCCGATTTAGTCCTGGTTTAGACCTGGTTTAGACCTGGTTTAGTCCTGATTTAGTCCCAGTTTAGACTTGGTTTAGTCCTAGTTTACAACTTTGAACTAAAAACTTCGAAAATCCACATTTCAATTCGATTTTTAAATTAATTTCTCAACATTTAATGATTTTTTTTTATTTTAATTTCTTTCATAAACCAAACTCCACTTCCTGTCGGCGCCTACATTTCCCAGAAGCCACTGCACATCGTTTTATCTGAAATGAAATTACTGGGATCCTTGTTTTTGTTTTGTTGTAAATTTCTCTCAATATTTTAAGACCCTGGACATTTTTAAATTTGCACTTTTAACAGTTTTTTGGATTTTAACATAAATTTATAATAAAAAATCTGAAAATTTTAGAAGTTTTTTTTTTTTTTGTGTTTTTTTTTTCAGTCTGGTTTTGGTCTTGACTGTTTCCGACCATCTGATGTTGAGAAAAAAACCTGAACTGATAAATGAATCCCAGATGGCTTCATTATGCAAGGACTAACCCAGAACTCAACCAGGACTAAACCAGGAGGAAACCACGACAGGTCCAGGAATAGACCGGGATGAGTCCTGAGGAGCAGAGACTGAGTCAGAGCAGCTCCTGGTCCCGCCAACGACAAACAGATGAGCTCCCACTGCACCGAGGACCAGACCAAGACCCAGACCAAGACCCAGACCGAGACCCAGACTGAACCAGAACCAGAGCCGGGACTGAATCAGGACTAAACCAGGATGAAATCAAGACTAAATCAGAACTAACAAGGATTAAAGAAGGACTGATCCGGGACTAAGCCAAAACTAAAACGGGATTGAACCGGGACTAAACCAGGACCGAGCCGGGACTAAACCAGGACTAAACTAGGACCGAGCCGGGACTAAACCAGAACTAAAACAGGACCAAACAAGGACTAAACCAGGACTGAAATAGGACGCAAGCAGGACTAACAAGGATTAAAGCAGGACTGAACCAAGACTAAAACAGGACCGATTCGGAACTAAAGTGGGTCTGATCCAGGACTAAACCAGGACTGATCCAGGACTAAGCCAGGACTAATCCAGGACTAAACCAGGACTAAACCAGGATGGAATCGAGACGAAATCAGGACTGGCAAGGATTAAAGCAGGACTGAGCCAGGACTAAAACAAGACTAAAGCTGGATTGAACCAGGACTGGACCAGGACTAAACCAGGACCGAGCCGGGACTAAACCAGAAATAAAACAGGACCAAACAAGGACTAAACCAGGACTGAAAGAGGACGGAAGCAGGACTAACAAGGATTAAAGCAGGACTGAACCAAGACTAAAAAAGGACTTACTCGGAACTAAACTGGGTCTGATCCAGGACTGATCCAGGACTAAACCAGGACTAAACCTGGATGGAATCAACACTAAATCAGGACTGTCAAAGATTAAAGAAGGACTGATCCAGGACTAAGCCAAGACTAAAGGTGGACTGAACCAGGACCGAGCCGGGACTAAACCAAGACTAAAACAGGACTGATTTGGAACTAAACTGGGTCTGATCCAGGATTAAACCAGGACTGAAAGAGGACTAAAGTGGGACTAACAAGGATTAAAGCAGGACTAAACCAGGACTGAACCAGGACTAAACCAGGACTAACAAGGATTAAAGCAGGACTGATTCAGAAGTAAACCAGGTTTGATCCAGGACTAAACCAAGACTAAAGCTGGACTGAAGCAGGACTAAACCAAGACTAAAACAGGACTGAATCAGGACTAAATGAAGAATAAACCCGGACTGATGTGGGACTAAATCAGGAATAAAACCGGACTGATTCAAAATTAAACCAGGTCTGAACCAGGACTAAACCAGGCATAAAACAGAACTGAACTAGGATTAAAAGAGGACTGAAGCGGGACTAAACCAGGGACAAACCAGGACTAAAACTGGACTAAACCAGGACTGAAGCAGGATTAAAACAGGAATAAAACCAGATTCAAGCAGAACTAAACCAGGAATAAAGCTGGAGTGAAACAGAACTAAACCAGGACTAAACCAGGACTGAACCAGGACTAAATCCAGACTGAACCAGGACTGAACCAGGACTGAACCAGACCTCAGCGTGAACCAACAATAAAATACATAAGAAAATCTGTTTTATTCAAAATCTGCACAAGACCAAAAATTTCCTCCGATAAAAACGTGTTCAAATATTTTCACGTCTTTTTTTATTCTTTTATTATTAAAATTTAGAATTTTCTTTCTTTTTGTTTTATCTCAAAATCTCACCCTCCTCTGACCTGCAGACTTTACCTCAACCTGATTATCAACTATCGACGTTTCCATTACGCAAAAGAACCAAACATGGACCAAACCAGGTCTAAACCAGGTCTAAACCAGGTCTAAACCAGGTCTAAACCAGGTCTAAAAAGGATTAAAGCAGGACTGAACCAGGACTAAACCGGGACTAAAGCTGGACTGAACCAGGACTAAACCGGGACTAAAGCTGGACTGAACCAGGACTAAACCGGGACTAAAGCTGGACTGAACCAGGACTAAACCGGGACTAAAGAGGGACTGAACCAGGATTGAACCAGAAATAAACCAGGAATAAAACAGGACTAAATCCAGAACAAAACCGGACTGAACCAGGACTAAACCCAGAAGAAAACCGGACTGAACCAAGACGGAAGCAGAAATAAAACAGGAATAAAACCGGACTAAACCAGGACTAAAACAGGACTGAACCAGGACTAAACCATGAATAAAACCACGAATAAAACAAGACTAAACCAGGACTAAATTAGAACTGAACCAGGACTAAATCAGGTATGAACCAGGTCTAAACCAGGAACAAACCAGACAGAACCAAGACTGAACCAGAACTAAAACAAGACTGGACCAGGACTAAACCCAGAAGAAAACCAGACTGAACCAAGACTGAAGCAGAAATAAAACAGGAATAAAACCGGACTAAACCAGGACTAAAACAGGACTGAACCAGGACTGAACCAGAACCAAACCAGGGCTGAAGCTGCATTTCACCAGAACTAAAACAGGACTGATTCGGAACCAAACCAGGTCTGATCCAGGACTAAAACAAGACTGGACCAGGATTTAAATAAGAGTAAACCAGGACGAAACCCAGAACAAAACCGGACTAAACCAGAACCAAACCAGGACTGAAGTGGGACTAAAACAGGACTGAAGCTGCATTTCAGCAAAACAAAAACAGGACTGATTCGGAACTAAACCAGGTCTGATCCAGGACTAAACAAGGTCTAAACCAGGAATAAAACGGGACTAAAACTGGACTGAACCAGGATTAAACCGGGACTGAAAACGAACTGAATCAAGACTGAAGCAGAAATAAAACAGGACTAAAACAGGACTGCACCAGCACTAAACCAAGACTAAAGCTGGACTGACCCAGGACTGAACCAGGACTAAAACAGAACTGATTAGGAACTAAACCAGGTCTGATCCAGGACTAAACCAGAACTAAACCAGGATTAAAACAGGACTGAAACAGAATTCAAGTAAGACTAAACCCAGAACAAAACCGGACTGAAGCAGAACTGAACCAGGACTGAAGCTGCATTTCCCCAGAACTAAACCAGGTCTGATCCAGGACTAAAACTGGACTGAACCAGGACTAAACCAGAACAAAACCAGGACTGAAGCTGCATTTCCCCAGAACTAAACCAGGTCTGATCCAGGACTAAAACTGGACTGAACCAGGACTGAACCCAGAATAAAACCAGGACTGAAGCTGCATTTCACCAGAACTAAACCTGGACTGAACCAGGACTGAACCCAGAATAAAACCGGACTAAACCAGAACTGAACCAGGACTAAACCAGAACAAAACCGGACTGAAGCAGAACCAAACCAGGACTGAAGCTGCATTTCCCCAGAACTAAACCAGGTCTGATCCAGGACTAAAACTGGACTGAACCAGGACTGAACCCAGAATAAAACCGGACTAAACCAGGACTGAACCAGAACCAAACCAGGACTGAAGCTGCATTTCACCAGAACTAAAACAGGACTGATTCGGAACTAAACAAGGTCTAAACCAGGAATAAAACAGGACTAAAACTGGACTGAACCAAGACTAAACCCAGAACAAAACCAGACTGAACCAAGACTGAACCAGAAATAAAACAGGACTGAACCAGGACTAAACCAAGACTGAACCAGGACTAAACCAGGTCTTTTCTTTCTTTTTTCTTCCATCTCCTGCACTTTACTTCACCTCCACCTGATTTTCGCGTATCGACGTTTCCATTACGCAAAACAAAATCACCAAAACCGAACGCGTCCGGACCAAACGACCCAGAAACCCCCCCAAAAAAAAAACCAAACCCCCGGTCCCATCCGCGTCTCTCTCCCCCGAAAAAAAAAAACCCTCCTCCGCGTCTCACCTGCGTCATGAGGCGGTCCGCTCCCGTGTCCTCCTCGTCCTTAAAGATGATGTCCGTGTTATAGTTCGGCGTGAGCTCCTTGAACCGGTCGGAGTTCCGCGTGATCTTCCCCTCGGGTCTGCCGCTCGCGCCCAGGGTCTTCTCGGCCACGTTGGGGCTGAACTGCTTGTAGGCGAGCGGGATGAGCTTCTTGGGGGGCCGCCTCTTGCCGTACGCCCTCCCCGGACCGCAGCTCTCGGCGGCAGGTGCGAGCGACAGGAGGAGCGCGCCGAGGAGGAGGAAGAGCGCCGAGACCCGCATGGAGGGAGTTTGTGGAGGGAGGTGGTGGTTTGGGGAGGGGGGGAAGAGGGAGGGGAGCGGCGACACGCGTGGATGTCTGCAGGACCTCCCCAGAAGTGTCAAGGCCGGCTCACATGCTTCGGGAGTTGGGGTCGGAGGCAGCGTGGCGCACCGCTCTTACGCGCTCAGCTCATTTTCCTTGTTTTTTTTTTTTTTTTTTCGCTTTTTGTTGGGTTTTTTTTTTTTTTTTTTTGGTTGTTGTTGCGCGTAAAAGCAGGAGCTGTGCGGCGAGGAAGTTGTAAAAAAAAAAAAAGTTAAAAGTTAAAAGTCCGCGGATTTAAAACAAACAGGTTCAAAGTCGAAGTTCCAGAGAGGGTGAAGAGGAGGAGGGGAGGAAGAGGAGGGAGGAGGGGGTGATCCGCGCGCCGGGGCCAGTGATCCGTTGATCCACCAGCCGCGCGCTCCTTTCCTTCTTTCCGTCTTTCCTTCGCTCTTTTTCTTTCTTTCCTTCCTTCCGCGATTCCCTTTTACGTGATCCCGACGCGCGCCGCTCTCCCACTGCTCCCGGAGTTTCCTTTACGCTGCAACTTGAAGGGTTTGAGTGATCCGAGGGCTGCCACTCCAGACCGCACCCTGCCAGCGTCTCTCTCTCAGTGTGCGCCACCCACCCCACCTCAAGGCCCGGCCCGCCCCTCGGTCGTGGGCACGCGGCGGCTGGCACACAGCTCCGGGCAGTGGGTGCAGCAGCAGGGAGCCTATAGCGGCCGCTCCGGGGCTGTTCTGCGGCCGCCTGAGTTTCCACTGGCCCGGGCCTGCGGGGCGGACGGACGGGCGGGCGCGCAGGATGTAAACAGCGCGATCGATGCAAATCACGTTGTGTGCGGCGGTGGTGTGTGCGCGCGCGCTGCGGCGGCGGCGGCGGCGTGGGGGCTTTTACGCACGGACGCAGCGCGAAAACAGAAGCGTGTGCGGAGGGGAGAGGGAGGTGAGGGGAGGGAGGACAGCGCGGGCAGGGGGCAGGGGCAGCGGCAGGGGCAGGAGGAGTGACAGGAGCAGGGGCAGGAGCAGTGACAGGAGCAGTGGCAGGAGCAGTGACAGGAGCAGTGTCTTGGTATTGAACAGTTTACTTTTGGGCCAAATTAGAACTGGACTGGTGCTTCATTCATTAATGTTCTGGGGATAAACAGGACAGGAGCATTGAAAAGATCAGTGACAGGAGCAGTGGCAGGAGCACTGACAGGAGCACTGACAGGAGCATTGACATGACTACTGACAGGAGTAGTGACAGGAGCTGTGACAGGAGCAGTGTCTTGGTTTGGAACAGTTTACTTTTGGGCCAAATTAGAACTGGACTGGTGTTTCATTCATTAGTGTTCTGGGATAAACAGGACAGGAGCATTGAAAAGATCAGTGACAGGAGCAGTGGCAGGAGCAGTGACCGGAGTAGTGACAGGAGCAGTGACAGGAGCAGTGACAGGAGTAGTGACAGGAGCAGACAGTACAAATAGCCTGGTTTAGAACGTTTTACTTTTTGGTTGAAATAAAACTGGACTGACACTTCATTGATCAGAGTTTTGGGGTAAGCAGGGCAGGTGCAGTGACAGGAGCAGTGACAGGAGCAGTGACAGGAGTAGTGACAGGAGCAGTGACAGAAGCTGTGACAGGAGCAATGTCTTGGTATGGAACAGTTTACTTTTGGGTCAAATTAGAACTGGATTGGTGTTTCATTCATTAGTGTTCTGGGATAAGCAGTGACAGGAGCAGTGACAGGAGCAGTGACAGGAGCAGTGACAGGAGCAGTGACAGGGGCTGTGGCAGGGGCAGGGACAGGAGCAGTGACAGGGCTCATGACAGATGTTTTTGACAGGTGAAGACAGTATATCTCTCTATCTTGGTTTAGAACGGTTCACTTTTGGGCCAAATGAGAACTGGATTGGTGCTTCATTCATTAGTGAGTCATGACAGGAGAAGTGACAGGAGCAGACAGGAGCTGTGATGTGGGCAGTGACAGGAGTAGTGACAGGTGCAGTGACAGGAGCAGACAGTACACATACCCTGGTTTAGGCTTAAAACGGTTTACTTTTTGGTTGAAATAAAACTGGACTGACACATCATTGATCAGAGTTTGGGGTAAACAAGACAGGAGCAGTGACAGGAGCAGTGACAGGAGCAGTGACAGGAGCAGTGACAGGGCCCATGACAGATGTTTTTGACAGGTGAAGACAGTATATCTCTCTATCTTGGTTTAGAACGGTTCACTTTTGGACCAAATGAGAACTGGATTTGGCTCTTCATTCATTAGTGAGTCGTGACAGGAGCAATGACAGGGGTCATGACAGGAGCAGTGACAGGAGCATTGACAGGAGCAGTGACATGGGTCATGACAGATGTTCTTGACAGGAGCAGCCAGTATAAATAACTTGGTATGGAACGGTTTACTTTTGGGTCAAATTAGAACTGGACTGGTGCTTCATTCATTAGTGTTCTGGGGTTAAGCAGTGACAGGAGCAGTGACAGGAGCACTGACAGGAGCAGTGACAGGAGCAGTGACAGGAGCAGTGACAGGAGCAGTGACAGGAGCAGTGACAGGAGCCATGAGAGGAGAAGTGACAGGAGCAGTGGCAGGAGTATTGACAGGGTCCATGACAGATGTTTTTGACAGGAGCAAACAGTATATCTATCTATCTATCTATCTTGGTTTAGAACGGTTCACTTTTGAACCAAATGAGAACTGGACTGGTGCTTCATTCATTAGTGTTCTGGGGTTAAACAGGACAGGAGCAGTGACAGGAGCAGTGACAGGAGCACTGACAGGAGCAGTGACAGGGAGCAGTGACAAGACTACTGACAGGAGCAGTGACAGGAGCAGATAGTACAGATAGCCTGGGTTATAACAGTTTACTTTTTGGTTGAAATAAAACTGGACTGACACTTCATTGATCAGTTTGGGCAGTGGCAGGAGCAGTGACAGGAAGCAGTGACAGGAGCAGTGACATGACTAGTGACAGGAGCAGTGACAGGAGCAGTGACAGGAGCAGTGACATGACTAGTGACAGGAGCAGTGACAGGAGCAGTGACAGGGCCATGACAGATGTTCTTGACAGGAGCAAACAGTATATCTCTCTATCTTGGTTTAGAACGGTTCACTTTTGAACCAAATGAGAACTGGACTGGTGCTTCATTCATTAGTGTTCTGGGGTTAAACAGGACAGTGACAGAGGACAGGAAGCGTGACAAGACTACTGACAGGAGCAGTGACAGGTGCAGTGACAGGAGCAGATAGTACAGATAGCCTGGGTTATAACAGTTTACTTTTTGGTTGAAATAAAACTGGACTGACACTTCATTGATCAGTTTGGGCAGTGGCAGGAGCAGTGACAGGAGCAGTGACAGGAGCAGTGACAGAGAGCAGTGACAGATGTTCTTGACAGGAGCAGACAGTATAAATAACTTGGTATGGAACGGTTTACTTTTGGGTCAAATTAGAACTGGACTGGTGCTTCATTCATTAGTGTTCTGGGGTTAAACAGTGACAGGAGCAGTGACAGGAGCACTGACAGGTGCAGTGACAGGTGTAGTGACAGGAGCAGACAGTACAGACGGCCTGGTTTAGAGCGTTTTACTTTTTGGTTGAAGTAGAACTGGACTGACACTTCATTGATCAGAGTTTGGGGTAAACATGACAGGAGCAACGACAGGAGCAGCGACAGGAGCAGCGACAGGAGCAGCGACAGGAGCAGCGACAGGAGCAGCGACAGGAGCAGCATTATCAAACTAACTGCTTGTAGGATAAAGGTTCTTTGAGCCGCACCTGCAGAAAACAAAGCACACACTGCAAAAAAGTCAAGTTAAAACGACTTGAATCTCCAAATCCCTCCTCAGTTCCACCTCGTGATGTCACAAAGTGGTAGTTTTCTAGTGAACAGCTCCTTCTTACCTTAGTAGAGATTTTTGTTTCCGGATCTGAAGAACTTCGAAATGATTCTAATGAACGTGCACCGCAAAAAAACAACATCTAGTCAAGTTAAGACGACTTGAGTTAATAAAGTTTGATCATGATTTGAGCCAATTTCACTCGACAAGTCAAATTATTTGTACTTTTTGTTCTTAAAATATGAAAATACATGAGGACTTGCAAGACTTGAGTCACTATTTTTAGGACTTGAGACTTGACTTGATAAAATGGACTAAGGACTTGGGACTTGACTTGGACTTGAAGGTCAGTGTCAGGATTTATTTGGTTATTTTTTGGTTTAAAGACTTGAAATGACTTGAAGCTCAAAGCAGACGACTCGGACTTGACTTGGACTTGACTTGGACTTGACTCGGACTTATGGACCAGTGACTCGAGACTCGACTTGGACTTGGTTGTATTTGACTTGGGACTTGACTCGGACTTGAGGTCAAAGACTTGAGAAGCACTTTTAAATCTGAATTCTTTCTATTTTGACCGTAATGACTCACTCTAAGATTTTGTCAAGACATTTAAAAAAGAAAAAAAATAACTAAATTAATTTCTACAACTTTTATTTACTCTATAAATATTCATAAATAAATATACTATGATTTTTTTAAGCACAATTTATCTTAAAATTCATATAAATTGCAAAAATCTAAGCTATATTTGGTATTTTTTTGGGTTAAAGACTTGAAATGACTTGAAGCTCAAAGCAGACGACTTGGACTTGACTTGGACTTGACTTGGACTTATGGGCCAGTGACTTGAGACTTGACTTGGACTTGCCTGGATTTGACTTGGGACTTGACTCGGACTTGAGGTCAAAGACTTGAGACTTGCAAAACAACGACTTGGTCCAACCTCTACATCTTGCTGCTCTTAAAATAAAAAAATAAAAAAGTAAAAAAAATAAAATTTGCACTTAAAATAAATAAATTAATTAAAAGAAACAAAATCGAATGATTCCATTGGTCGATAATTTTACTCGTCAAGTTGAATCGACTCAGTTTTTTCTGTGTGTTATTGATACTATTGGTTCATCTGGAATGTTCCACAGTGTGACATTAAACTTGAATATCCATGGAGACAAACAGGTGACATGGTCCATCAGGGCAAGTGACAAGTCAGATCTGTGGAGAAGCGAGTCCTGCTCACAGAAACAAGACATGTTTTGTATAAATAAATATAAGATAGTTTCACCAAATTTAATAAAATGTGGAACATTTCAGGCCAATGTTTAATGAACTATTTAAAATAAAAAATGAAAAAAAAAAAGGACTAAAACCAGGACTAAATCAGGACTAAACCAGGACTAAACCAGGATTAAACCAGGGACTAAACCAGGACTAACCAGGACTCAGGACTAAACCAGGACTAAACCAGGACTAAACCAGGACTAAACCAGGACTAAACCAGGACTAAACCAGGACTGAACCAAGGACTAAACCAGGACTAAACCAGGACTAAACCAAGGACTAACCAGGACTAAACCAGGAACCAGGACTGACTAAACCAGGACTAAACCAGGACTAAACCACCAGGACTAAACCAGGACTAAAACCAGGACTAAACCAGGACTAAACCAGGACTAAACCAGGACTGAACAGGACTAAACCAGGACTAAACCAGGACTAAACCAGGACTAAACCAGGACTAAACCAGGTCTAAACCAGGACTAAACCAGGACTAAACTGGGACTAAACCAGGATTAAAACAGGAATAAAACCCGACAGAAACACGACTAAACCAGGACTAAACCAGGACCAACACTGGAATTAAACCGGACTAAACCAGGACTGAACTAGGAATA